CTCCCCTCTGCACACACAAACACGCAAGCGGTCCATCTCTTTAGACTGCGGCTTCTGGCTTGCGCCCTCAACTGGCAGAGTTCGGCATCCAGCAAGATGTTTTATTGGTCACATGTGGACATGGCAAATTATGCGTTGTCATTTATAAATGATACTCGTTGGACGAATGCGTGTTTAAAATGTATTATTAAAACGCATATTAACTTTGACAGCCTTCATGCGTAACGTTCGCTGCTCGGGAACATTCTGAAACGTTCAGTGTTGATGTTTGTTAAGGCGGCATACCCGAGGCGTGCTATAACAGTGTCACGTTGCGGCGCGGTTGAGTAACCTAACAAGTGGCAGAGTTGAAGAGTCGTGTATTGGATAAAGGTGGCTCAGGTATAACGGAGTGATTGAAAAATGTGCATGGCTGAGTTCAGTGTAAAAAAAAAAAATCTCATTTGTTCATTTGCTTGGATTAGGGTCTTTTTTTTACCAATCTAACCAGCAAATCTTGAGTGGTCTTAACAAATTATTATATTATATTATTATATTATTTTATTATGTTTTATTTTTATTATTTCCATTCTACGTCACTTTACCGAAAGAACCAAGAAGATGGTCTTAACAAGTCTCCAAGAACAATGTTTAGTTAGAAGAACCTGAGTCATACAGGCATTCCCATGGGAAAGATATTACATTTTTATGGCCACATTCTGTCTTCAACACACCACTCACGAAGAGCCGAGCCTGGTTTCCATCGGTCATGTCCTATGTGCCCACAGGCCCCAAAGGTCTTGGAATCGGCATCCTGGGGAGAGGCCCCAACCCCGAAGAGCAGAATATCCACGTGGCGGCTCTGCTGGACGGAGGAGCTGCCAAGGTGGACGGCAGGTGAGGGGGGGGAGGTGTTTTTTTTATTTTGGGTTAGGCACTGTTAAAAGGTGGGGCATATCAACCGGCAAAACATATCAAACACTTGGAGCGTTTCTTTTCGGTGAAGCAGAAGCGATGCTCATCACGTCTGCTTCACCCGAACTACCTCGCCTGGTATACAGGAGGTCGTGTGTTCGATCCCGACCCTCGTGCCTGTATATACGGAGTTTGCATGTTCTCCCCGTGGTCGCGTGGCTTTTTCTACGGGTCCTCCGGGTCTTCCCTCGTTTAGAAACACGCGTGTTGGTGTATTTGGCTGATGTAAATTTCCCTTCATAAGCCACTTCGTTGAGCTGTCATTTGATGATGGCCAGGTCACTTCTAGAGCTATACAGCTCAGTGGGCCGTACCCTGGTAAAATAAAATGCGACGCAACTTCCACCTGGGCACGTTGGTGAACACACGTGTTGGTGGATCGCGTAGAGATCTGTGAAACCCTCGCACCAGCCGGGGTTGCAAGGTGGCAGCACAGCAAGTGGGTTCATAAAACCTGTCTCGATGCGTCGATTTTCTCCAGAAACATTGGTGTTCTCCCACCACACAAAACACTTCTGAAAAGGGAACCGGCCCAAACGACCCGATGTATGGCCCGAGTGAAAAACCTTGAAGAATCACCGAGGCTTTTCAGAATAAACAATTGACATTAAGTGACCTCTGTGTGCATTGTTGCCTCCAGTGTTCACAGTGGGGAATCCACAGTTTGTTTCTTATCTCTTTTCAAAAGGTACACGTTACTGAATCATATGCTTACACCGCCGCCGTACATTGCAAAAGAAACATTCTTCCTTTCCCCCCTTTTCACTCTGTCCATGCCCATCAAAATCTGGCTGAGACCACGGCCATGCTTGTGAAAAGTCTTTGTGGAAGTTTCGTTTTTTTTGCTGCGATTGTAATCATCAAACGTTTGCCGCACACACAAAAAACCCCCGACTGCTGTTTTTACTTTGCCTGCTCCCCGGCCTTCAACCCGGGATTACTCGGGGTCCCCGGGATACAGGCCCTGGTGGTGCTGCCTTTTGACCCCCCCTCCCTAAATCCTTCCGCTTGCCTCATTTTCACGAGCTCGCGTTCTTTAAAAAAATAAGGAACAACGCATTTTCCGAAATATCAAGGGATTTGCTGATTCCAAGTAACCCTTTTGATGTTGGATATTGCAGCGGTGGTTGAAACCGAGGTCTGTTGAATCACCTGGGTTCGTGGAGCTCCAAATAATTGACGGCGACTGTCACCACCCATCCCTGACATTGGGCCGAGATCAGAGCTTCCTTTTTTTTAAAGTGCGCAGGTCCGAATCGCGTGATTAGAGATTGTTCCTTCCGTTATGTTGGGAAATTCTTCTCCTGAGCTTTCACCCGCAGGCTTGCCAGCTCCCAAAGTCAACCGCAGGCAATGCCTGGTAAAAGCTTGCGAGGAGAAACTCTCAACCCGCGGCCTCATCCAGAGGGACCACAACTTAGGCAGATCGCCAGGGCGATGTGCTTTGGCTGTTTTCCCCGTAATGGGTGGGGCAGTACAGGTGGTTTCATGAACTCTCGCTTCATCGACGGTTCTCTGTTGGAGGTTCGGTGTTGCAGGCCGGGCGTCGCCCTGCACCCCGCGAGTGGTTTTCCCGACCTGCGAGCGTGGTGCCCTCTCTGTTGTCCAGGATTGACGTCGGTGACCAGGTGCTGGAGGTGGATGGTGTGAGCCTGGTGGGCATCTCGGAGGAGTTTGCAGGCACCTTGCTCAAGAACACCATCGGCCGTGTCAAGTAAGAAGGGGGGGGGGGGGGGCGACCCTGCCACTCAGCACGGGAACTTGGGGCCGGTGGAGAGGCTGTGTAAATCCCCTGGATTTTTATTCCTGCTGTCCCTGTAACGCTCTTTTATGGTTACGTATCAAGTGTGATATATCACAATGCTCTTAGATATCACGGCTGCGTTATGTAGCATCGCTTTAGGTTAATTTTGGGGGTTTTCAATGCCATGTTAATTGAGCAAATGCTTTATGTCATATTAAGTAGAAATTATTTTAAATGCTTACAAAGTAAGACGCCAACAGTCAAATGAGCTTAGCGATTCTGCACAAATAAAGCTCCTATCCGTGAGCGAGACGTGCCCATTTTCGCATCCTGGGTTTTGCAAAGATCTCCAGCGCTTATTGGAATCCTGACAAAACATCCATCACTCGTCCCGTGAAAAGCTTTTAAAGTGCGGCTTATGTTGGTCGCCTGAATGGGCTCGGGGCTTCTGCGCCAGGCCTTTAGTGCCCGCTGCCAGACGCATTAACTCCAGCTGGGCCTGTTTGCTCAGGAGCCACGGGGCACGCTCTCTCCGCGAGATGCACGCGCACATATTAATCAAGCGGTTGAATAAAAGCCGGGGCTCTTGCCAGCACCTTTCCAGTGCGAGGGCTCAATCAAGGGTTGGGTAGCGGGTGGGGGGGGGGGTGCAGAATAAACTGGCAACGAGTTCGTTCCCAAGCCTCTGTCCCTGTCTGACGTCATTTGGCAAAGTGGCGTGCACGTGCTTTGGGAGGTGATCGCAAGGCACGGCTCGCATGAGATAGCGGAGCGCACGGTCTCGCTCTTCCCTGCACCCGAGCTATCCTCTCTCCCGTAACCAAACCGCTGTTTGCCAACACGTTTGATCTGTGTTTTGTTTAACGCGGTACGATGGGGATGATGCCCCCGTGGGTGTGTAACGGTTAGCGCACCTGAACTTGCAACACGGAGGTCACCAGTTCGATGTGCGTCTCCTGGCGTTGAAATAATGGGGTCACGTTTCTTAACTCCCCACACACCTGTGTCGACCCAGCTGTGTCGATGGGTACAGCATAGCTCGTTGATAGGCAAGTCACGTGCGGGGGAGTAAAGTGTGGGTACCCTAACGTTTTCCCAGTTGTCTGGCCAGCATGGTTGGGAGATGTTAACTTCCTCGCCGGGTATACAGAAGGTTGGCGGTTCCATTCCGAGCCTGATGCCTGTATATTTGGAGTTTGCATATTTTTCCCCGTGGTTGTGTAGATTTTTCTCTGGTTCCTCCAGTTTTCCCCTGCACATTTAGAATCAACATGCGTTTAGAGTATTTGGTTACTGCTGTCAATTTTAACATGATAAGCCACTTCGTTAAGCTATCATTTGTGGCCAGGTCGCGTCTGACAAGGCGCTGTATAGCTCAGTGGGCCTTACCTAGCAAAATATAACTAGTTTAGTTTATAGTTGAAAAGTTTAGTCTATAGCATACTCTAGTGGTGACACTTCCGCCAGCAGCGGTGTGAGTGAGCAATTGCAGGGCTGCACCTTTTACCTTGTACGTGTCTTTGTCTTGGAAATATTTTTAAAACCATTATTTTTTTTTAAACAGGGGTGTGATCGGTACTTTTTTAATACTCTTAAGTTTTTCACGACCTTAAAATCGCGTGAATGCCACACAACCATAAAATGGCACGTATGTTTTAATACACCGATGAAGTGCCATTTGACCTCCAAGTGAAATTGCTTTTTGTTTATTTCTTGTAGATTGCTCATTGGCAGGCAAAAGTCTGCTGCAACCAAGCCCAAAAGTCCATTGGCTCGGGAGGTTCTGCACAAGGAGTCAGAAAAAAAGAAGGAAGCTGAGCAGAAAGCGACAACAAAGGTCTTGGAACAGCAGGCCGTCCCAGAGCAGTTAGCAGAACCAAGAATCAGGTTTCCAGGGATTATAAATGTGGAGTCCGATCAAATAAAAGCAGACCTCTCTAATCTGCGCCAGCCGCCAAGCGTGCAGGAGGTGCCAAGTGCAGAGCTGGGCTGGCACAGGTTGGAGGAGTCGGAGATTAGCGTAAAGCAGTTGCCAGGTGTGTTCCAGCCAGAGGTGGTAGACCACAGGGAAATCGTAGAACCAGGCACAGCTGAGCAGGTGGTCCCAGAGGAGCACACAGCAAATGAACAGATTGCCAGCAACGCTGCGAGCGAATCCGACGACACGCGTCAACCGCATCTTGCGGTTTGTCCAGTGGCCACGTTTCACTACGAGCACCCCAGCACCGCGGTCACGGACGAGGCCACGAAGGAGAACAGCACGGTGAGCTGCACGTCGCAGATTCCGCTTAGCTTCAGCGAGCCCAGCTTTGGGACGACGAGTGTCCTAAAAAGCGAACGAGCGGCGTTTGTTTCCCAGCCGATTCCTTGCGACGATTCCCCATCTCTTCTCGGAGGCTTGAAGCACGCAGCTCGGCAGGAACCAGAGCAGGAGGCATTTGAGCAAGACGTGCGAGGCCGAGATGGAGACTCAAGTCTGGAACACCAGACCAGAATACGTGCAGGTGAGACTGGATACACGTGTGGGAATATATTTTGTGAGAAAATTATGTTGTGATAATTGCTTACTTGGAATGCACAACTATATGAATGATAAGTTTTTGTTTTTTATTATGAACCTTAGATTTTACATTTTTTATTTCTGTTGAATACAACGCTATGAGCATCTGCTGTCCTGTTTTTTTGGGTCAAAAGTCATTGTGTCATCATTGTATTATTTGTTCTTTTGGTGAAATTGATAATCAAGAGCTTAAATTCCATGAAATATTAACACGATCCGTTCAACACATTCAGCTATTTATTCGTCAAGATTTGCAGTGTTTGTCATAACACATTTTTAACTCTTGTTGTTGGGAGGGAAAGTGCTTTAGCTAATACATGTTTAAGTGTTTACTCTGTCTTCTTCGAGGTGTGCGTCACAGTGAGTATATGTAGCGCCAGTGTACTCCTTTGCAATATGCAGCAAGCATCTGGAAATTTGATATAAAACAAATGTTCCCGCTTGACACACTAGAAAAGTTATCAAAACGCATTCCCACGTGATTAAACAAGAATATTGGCTGGGCCTGTTGAATGTAAACAAATGATTACTTATCAAAAACAAATATGAGAACAGGACATTTTTTAAAGTAAAGACTTTAAAAAAGCATTTAAAAATACTTTAAAAGGCTTCACTTTAAAGCTCGGCTGCTTACTGTGTTATCAATGCTCGTGTATTTACAGAGCGAAAGCTTTGCTGAGTGCCCCTTGAATTGCATTCTAGATGGAAACAGATGGTCATTTAAATCTTTTGTTATTCACGGTGAAATGTCTTAACTTTTTCATCTCCGCAGCCCACGTCAAATTTATATGTTGTTACTCCCATCTTTAATGGGATCGTGGATTCGATTTCACCAACACAAGTCTGGGACAGGAGATTTTTTTTTCCCTCTCTCTCAAGTCCAGGGGTTAAAAGTTCTCCCTGCGGGGTCACGGTCATTGGATGTGAAGAAGCCAGTCCCCTTCATCACCCATGAGCAGAGGTCGCAACCGGGTACCCGATACCCGTACCCTACCCGGCTACCCGTACCCGGCCGCGACCCTGGTGCGGCCGGGTACGGGTACGGGTAGGCCGTGAGTCACTGGTGAGTAAACGTTTGTCACTCATTTCGGGTAGGGTACGGGTAGGGAACGGGTACCTGTACCCTGTACCTGGCCGGGTACGGGTACGGGTACCCATTTGCGACCGTGGTGCGGCCGGGTACGGGTAAGGAATCAAAACCCGTTTGCGACCTCTGCCCATGGGCCCCTTCTTCCCAGGAGGAATTTCTTTCCTTCTGGGCATCGTAAGGATCTTGACGTGATTGGACGTGCGTAAGGAAGTGGTGATAGGCACATGTTAAGGGAGAGCACGTTAGGGCAGAGTGGGGGGGGGGGTCCCTACACGGCCATTTCTTCCGTGTTAAAAAAAAGTGTGAAAAGATGAACGCGAGGCTCGGAGAGGGCGAGGGAGGATGAAGAAGAAATGAGAATTGACGCCTCTTCACCGTGGTCACCACAAGGTGGCACTGTCGCCTCTGTTATGTTTGTATTTATGCATGTTGAACTTTTTTCGCACCGCACGTAGCCAACCGTGCTGATCGGAGGCGCGGGGGAAGGACAACAAACGAAACAAAAAGCAGTTATAAAGAAATGAGTTTTCAATCTAGATTTAAAAGGGCATAGCTTCGGTGGCTTCCTAATATGGGAAGGAGGAGCGTTCCAGATAGCCGCAGAAGCGCATCTGAAACCGCGTAATGCAGTGACCGTCTTTGTTTGATGGCTAGACAAAAGCCACTGCGAGGATGACCGGAGTTCGCATGATGGTTTCTGCTCCTTGACGAGATCAGCAAGGTATTGTGGTTCATTTGTGGCAAGCACTTTGTGTATACCGAGTGCAACCTTAACGGCTAAAAACTGTGAATGTTTGAGCAAGTGTCAGAATACGCACTACCGTCATGACTGCCTCAGTGAGGTTTGGCGCATTCAAATAAGAGTTACGAAGTAATGATATATATTACCAAACATGTTTTATAGAATATTTACTGATTTATAGAATATTAGACATTAACATTGTACACTTTAATAATATACACTCTATTTTTTAATGCGAAGAACCAACTAAAATAAAGCATTCGAAATATTATTGATAAATAGCAAACAAAATATTTGATGTTAAGGGTGGAAATAACACCTTGGTAGCAGAGATTTGGTCTGTTCTGACCTGTCACTCACAAGCCTCATTGTGGTACCATTTTGCCACAAGTGTACTCAGTGACAACCTTTGCAAGTTGCAGTCTTGACACTATCAACGACGTCCTTAGGGCTTTAAAGATTATTCGTGCTTGAGTGGCGGTTTATAAAAATTGCACCGAGCATCATTATTTTTCCAAATCACCTTATAATTAGCGAGTGAGAGCCGACCGGGTCATTTGTGTAAGAGCAGGTTGTTCTTTCTGGGAATTGCGCGTTTATCAGTGGGGAGACATTAACTACCTCGCCTGGTATACAGGAGGTCGTGGGTTCGATCCCGACCCTGACGCCCGTATATATGGAGTTTGCGTGTCTCTCTCCCCGTCGTGGTATGGATTTTTCTCCGGGTCCTCCGGATTTTCCCTCGACATTTAGAAACATGCCTTTATAATATTTGGCTGCTAGAAATATACTCACGGTAAAGCCACTTTGTTGAGCTATCATTTGTGGTCAGGTCGCTTCTAGCGATAGAGCTCAGTGGGCATTCCTGTTAAAAAAAATAGTTGAAGTTTTTTTTTAAGTTCTAAAATGGTATATTAAGAGCATCTTGTTTAGTAATCATACATGTTATTTAGACTGAACAATGCCATTCATAACCTTAGCAGACTTTTACTCAGCACCTTGACGCACCACGCCTTCTTAATGAAGCCTGGCTACCTTTGCTGCCAAGCATCGAGCGCTTAACCGAAGTAGGAGTTCACTGCCGAACTATTTTGGGCTTAGAAGTGGGCGGGTGGCTTTTCTACATCAGCATAACACGTTTAAAGCTCTCGCACTGTTGGGATCTTCGTGGATTTCGTGTTGAGGATTGATATCGGTGGAATTTACGAGCCGTTACTAAATTCACGCTAAATGCTTCAACCCACGCATGCACTACAAGTCCCATAGCACAAATATTAAATCGTGCAAGTTGCGCGTTGAGTAATCGCTGTTCAGAATGGATTTAACAAATACAAATCAAGGATGGGGGGAGAAAAAACTCTCTATCATATCTGAATAATGGAATTGGGAGTGGAGTGTGCAAGAGGGTGGGAAATGAATCATAGGCCACAACACGATTGCTTCCTGCTTTTACGACCTGCATGGTTATCGTTCGGATGCCGTAAAGTGTAAAATAATTTACAGTTTTTTGGCATCTGCACTGCGCCCTTTTGATGTGGTTTAATTTAAAATCTTCAGTCGGCTATAAAACTATTCTGTTGGAGGCCATCAACTAACCCTGAGTCCTAGACATGCACACACACACTCATCTCCTGCGTGAGATCACAATCTCGTGTTTACTATAATGGGGGGATTTTTCTCTTTGTCACCTGCCTCTCCACGCTAGCTTCCACAACGGACGCTGATATAGCAATGAATCCTCAAAACTAGTGTCGTGTGGATTTAGATTTAAAGGTTTCGTGACTGCAAGGATTCATCTTCTTGGTTCTTTCGGTAAAGTCACATAGAAGGGTTTTTTACGTGGTTTTTACGTGGTGGTTTAGTTACTGCAGCTACATACTATTAACATTCCTTCCCTTTATTAATGCTACCCCTATCCCCTCCCTTTGATGCTGCTAATCCTGCATAATGCACGGGCATAATATGAATTTGAAACCCCCCGCCCACCTCCTACGCATTTCACAAGTAGTACTAATCCCATATCTGCATTTCCCATAAATATGCTAAATTCCTCTTGATATGCAAATTATTTTGTCAAGGCGCTCTTCCCCCTCCAACCCAGCTTAAATAGACGCTCCAAGCCTGGGGTGTTTCATTCAGACGCTGTCTTCCCGACAGACCTGTTCTTCACCTGAGGACGGCTGCTTGCGTTGTGGCCGAAACGTCGTGAGAATTATTTCATTATGTTTTATTATTTTATTATTTCCCTTCTACGTGACTTTACCGAAAGAACCAACAAGATGGCGGTGTGTGCTTTTGAAATTGGTCATACTTTCTTCTATTACTAATACAAACATTATTGTACAGCCTTTTGTCACCCTACCGACAAGACGAAGGGCTTGCCACACCATGCGAGTAATGGGGAGTTGTTTAACCATACGGAATCATGCAGGCCAATGCGAGTTGGTGAATGAGGGCCCAGAATTGGTTCAGACACCACTCACCCTTGATGTTCGCTGTGGCTGGGAATCCAACTCTGGATGCTGCGTTTATTGTGCATGTCGCCAACCGGTGCACCCACCACTCCACCCACCCACCACTCCACCTCCGCAACATGCATTGTGAATCATCTCAAACGTCGTAGCGAATGCTGTGTGCGACGACGACTCTTCCCCCAAGTCCCGGTTAATCGCCTTCGCGGGATGTGGAGGTTGCTGTGTATGTGTGTCCACGTGTGTGTGTCCACGTGTGTGTGTCCACGTGTGTGTGTCCACGTGTGTGTGTCCACGTGTGTGTGTCCACGTGTGTGTGTGTGTCCACGTGTGTGTGTGTAACAACTACAGGGGCATCTCACTCCTCAGTGTGCCGGGTAAGGTCCTGGCAAGGATTATTCAACATCGCCTTGCTAGGCACGCTGAGGAGAGGCTTGCGGAGCCCCAATGCGGTTTCAAGAAAGGGCGGTCCTGCACAGATGCCATATTTTCTGTCCGTCTGCTACAGCAGAGGTGTAGGGAATTCCAAAAAGACCTACATCTCTGCTTTATTGACCTGGTCAAGGCCTATGATACCATCAGTAGGACTGGGCTCTGGGTTGTTCTTCGTGCTTTCGGAGTCCCTGACCCTCTGCTCACGA